TTAATCTAAGTTGAGTAACTAGAACTGGGTTAGTTCCCATCCTTCCTGTGAGAGGCCACTTTTGCAAAAATGAGGGAAGGGAATCAGAAGGCTAGTGTTATCTTTTTCTTCCAGAAGCCGAATCTGCCTCCCTTGCTCCTCACCCCAAGTATAAATTTGGACAAACCAGCTGTAATTGTATCTCATATAGAAGTTCCCGTCTGCCCACTCTTGGATCTCTTTCACTCACTGTACTCCAGTCTTTGTCCAAATGGTATATGTGTCAATGTGTGTCATTTGTTTCAGTGACAGAGATACTTTTTATTTTGGTTTGAGTAGCTTTGCTTATATGTGTTCCTTTTCTGCCACGTATTAACATATGGATATATTAATAGCGTTTTAAAAAACATATTGTTCACCTTTCCTCCCCACCTCCCAGTAGAACTTGGACGCACATGGCTTTACTATTTTTCTGGCGCTTTACTTAGAATAGTGGAGATTTCTCTCAGCAAGTTACTTGATATCTGCTCAGCATATATCTGTTTTAATTTGTTTGGCAATTAATGACTGAAATTTTCAGTGGTTTGTTTTTTTTAAGTTTCCTTTTATTGGACACCAGATACATGCTAGGCACTGTGCTCTTGGCGTTGGATTTGCGAAGATGATTAAGATAATTTTGATTCTCAAGTAGCTTGCAGTGAATTGGGCTACATTGTGGTTTAAGTTGTTTGTTTGTTTGATTTGGTTTGATTTGACTTGGTTTTTTCGTTTTAGTTTTCCTTATTGTAGAAAGCTTTGCTATCTAGGTTTCTTGCTGTAAAATACAAATTTCTGTTACAGAGGGATTTAGATGTCCTGTTTTCCATTTTATTTAAACTCTGCTTCCTACATATTCCTCTTGTGTTTGGGGACGAAGGGGAGAAAGGTCCACACAGAGGCCACTGTCTGCCCATGTGGTTGCACTGACCACTACTTGTTAGTGCTAAGCGTAAACCGAATCTCACTTACACAGGTTCGCTGAGCCGATGCTTGGTAATCAGTCCTGTTCCTAAGAAAGGAGGAGTGTGCTCCAAGTCAAGGTGCAGTTGAATCTCAGCCTTTTCCTTTTCTTTCTTGCACATGAACATCTGAGCACCCCTTTTCCTTTAAATTCAGAGCAAGATGATTTACCTTATGTCCAACTGCAAAGCAGTTTAAAACTGCCCATTTTAAAATGTTAAAAAAAATTGTGTAACCATAAGGAAACTAACATTTGTGGAATGTATTCGTTTGCTGCTGTATCAGAGGATCACAGGACAACTTAATTTTATTATAGTTCTGGAGACTAGAAGTTCTAGACCTAAGTGTTGGTGCCATTGGTTATTTCTGTGGACACTGAGGGAAGGATGTGTTCTAGATCCTTCTCAGTGGTTTGTAATGACTGTCTCTTCCCTGTGTCTTCACACTGTCTTCCCTCTATGTGTGTCTATGTCCAAATTTCCTCTTCTTCAAGGACCCCAGTTACGCTGCATTGAAGCTTACCCTAACACCTCATTTTAACTTAATTCCCTCTTTAAAGTGCCGTATCTCCATATACAGTCATATTCTGAGATACTGGGGGTTAGTACTTTAACATTTGAATTTTGACGAGGGACACAATTCAGCCCATAACATGAAGTGACTCCAGGGTCCCAGAAAGATGCGAAGAAGTACTTTTATATACATTAGTGTAGTTGAGCCTCACAAAATTGCTGCACTAAATGGACATTATGATCCCACTGTATAGATGAGAAAAACTGAGACTGGGAGCAATGACTCATCTTGCAGAAAGTCACCAACTAAAAAGTAGCAAAATCAGGAATTGAACCTAAATCTGTGTGATCTACTTTATTGTACTGCTTCTATGTATTTTCCTCCTCCGTTATTTTCTTTCTTTGTAGATGTAATATTTTTAATCCAAACAAAGCCCGGGAAGGTTCTACTCTCTCCTTCTAGCTGGGGAAAATTACTTTTATGCAAGCGTTTGGCTTTCTGTTTAGCAGCCAGTACTTCTACTCCTGGGCATACTGTCTGCATCTTTCAACCTTTTCTAACAGATTCCATGACTTGATTAAATGCTGCTCCCAAATCCAGACCAGATATTAACACCAGCTCTGTCACTTTCATCTAACAAACGATGGGTTGTTTGGTTGGTGGTTGGCAGGGAGTTTGGGTTGGTCTGACTTGTTTCATTATTTGGAGGTCTTCAGCATCTCTTAGAGGGCAGAACTCCTCTAAGTGGGAGATTGCCTCATAATGCAGATTCTTTTTTGGTTTTGAGCCAAAGGATGGAAAAAGAAGGAGAGAAAATGTATGAGGAGACAGGTTACAACATAATGTGACACTCACTGAGACAGTGGGAGATTAGTAGTGAAGAAGTACTATCTCCAAAGAGTTGTTGAAACCGTCTGATCTCAAATGTGATCAGGACAGCATCAGACTAGGACAGATACGGCACTTTTCGTTACCAACCTCTAAGGGTAGTAAATGAAACCAGTAAGTGAATTTGGAAAATTGCTTAGCCACGTCTGCAAATAGCTTATAGTTGACTTTTAAAAATACATGCTCTTTACCAAGAAATGAAAAATGACACTTTTCCTGGTAACTTAGTGCATATGTATGACATGATATCAGTATAGTAGGATTCTAATTCTGATGTACCACTTAAACTATCCCTGCGTCATGGACAAATTAGTCTCATTGAGTGTCAGTTTCTTATCCGTCAAACCAGTGTGCTGGTTGCCATGAAGGTCAAATAAGATATATGACCTTCGCACTGTATTTGCAAACTCTTGAGTGGCTATACATATGTTAGCTATATTTATTATTACTTTATTTTTGGCACAAATCTAATAGAAACCACCATTATGCTGAATCATCCAGTTTGATTCTTCAGTGTATGAATTATCCAGGCACCTCGTTTTCTGTCCCCTTTTTACTTTCTATGTGCTGTTTTGTCCTTTGAAAATGCTTTAGAACCATTGTGAAATACGAGGAAGAGTAGTTATGAATTCTTGCTTTTTCATTTTTTAAGTATTTATAGTTGCTTAATGAGGAGACAGCTGAAAAATAGCCCAGTTAACAAAGAGCTTGCTGTCTATACCCAGAAAGTGACCTGTCACACTTTAAAGGTGCTAAGCCCTCCCGAGGAAGTGATCTGCCCTCTGGTTTCAGAACAGTCCTGGCAGACTCCTGGTAGATTCTGACACTTTTCACTTTCCTGGAGAGCTATTAAAATTGGAAAACTTTTGGAACTGTATTCCCATACCACCTAGATGGGCCCAATGACTGAACAGAACATGTGATAAGAATCTTTCCTCTGTGATGAAGCGCCACGAAACATCCTGAGTTGGCAACTTGTAAAGCGATCTGAGTTTCTCGTTGTTCAAGCACCTGTAAGAAGTTCTCCCAGAACAAGAAAGTCTCTTCGTACGTGCAAATAAAATACCGTGTCTGTCCTGTTCTCTCTCCAGGAAATAGTACATGACCTTAGTTCACGTTAAAAGTGATTGCTTCTTGTTCTCTACACTAGAAGGAGAGTCTAATGGCATTTCCTCTTTTCTGGGAACAGGACAGAGTGGATGGGATTCGCCTAGTTGTGTGTATATCGTGAAAGTGAAGGATCTTAGCAGTGGCTAAGTTCTGGGAGCATAACTTTTATTGACCATAGTTTGATACTTAGAAGGCAAAGGTTGTGAGGCTTCGCGCAGCCCTGCTTTCATGGTTTTTCAGCTCTTAGGCTAGCTGGAGGAAGGTGGCTCGTTTGGGGGAGTAATGGTCTGTGAGATAGTAAGGCGCTGCATTCCAATTTAATATGACTCAGGCAGCTGGTGGCCATCCACTGTCAGGGCTCTCTGAGGAAATCAGTGTTTTTCAGTTATATGTCAGGATTTTAACTAAAATCGGTCATCTGGTTGACCAGAGTGAACTAATTTGGTACCCTTTTCTGTGCACTCTCCTTCATGACTGCCTGGCTATGATCAGGTTGATGCCAGTGCATCTCTTACGCTGACAAATGCTAATCAGAGATAGGATTCTGATTTTAAATTCAAATTCACTATGCGCTATTAACTTTTCTAACATTGTGTGCTTTTGATGGCCTCATTTGCATGATTTTATAAATATGCATTTCTGGCTACAATTTTATTATCTGAGTGTTCTTTTATTTAACACACGTTTTTGGAGGAGGTTTTTTTCCTTGACGGTGTGAAAAGATTATCAATCTATTTGTAACAGAGTTATAGTGTGGTCAAACTCCATACGGCCATATGATCATTGTCATCAGAGTATAGCATAGAAGTTAAGACCACTGGAGTCAAAGTGCCTGGATTCAAATCCAACTCCTCCACTCCATCTATGTTGAGTGCATGTGATGTAACTGTACAGAAATTATTTAGCCTTATAAGCCTTATCCTCATCTTTTAATGGAGGTAATAATAGCATTTCCCAGATAGGGATTTTGAGAAGATTCCATTAGACTGGCACACGTATCAGGCAGCTTTCGCTAGGCCATGCTGCAGTAACAAATGAATCTAGAATCTCAGTGGCTCACAACTGCAGAGATGTATCTCTGATTCACACTCATGCCCATCATGGATTGGCTCTGCCTCTGCTCCATATTCTCTTCATTGGGAGACACAACTGAAGAAGCGGCTTCTGTGGGTCTCACAGCAGAGGAAATACTCACTGTGGCTTTAACAGCTTCTGCGTGGAAGGAGCACGTGTCACTTCTATTCATATTTAATTGGCCAAAGTAAGCCATGTGGCCGAGCCTGATAGCAGCAGGTGGGTATGACCATCTACCACAACATGCAGTGCACATTGACTGGAACATAATAAATGCTCCATCGTTTTTATTTTTAAATCCTGTTCACAAGCATAAATTATAGTCTAGGATTCCCATTATCCTTTGCTTGGAGAGAGAAGACTAATATTTATGTGTTTGTCAAATGGCTCCCTTAAGGGCAAATTGAGGTGCTGAATGGTTCCTTTAAACTTTCCAGGGAAGGTGGTCTATGGAGAGCCCATAGCAGCGAGCCTGGGCACTGACGGCACGCACTACTGGAGTAGAGAATGGCACCACGCAGCCCACCACGTCATGGGCCCACCCCTGCGACCCGACCCTTCCACGCCTGACTTCCTCATGAATCTCTTGGCTAAGTAATCACTTGGCAGATGATGGTGAAGTGTTTTGGCAAAATAATGATGCTGTATGAGTCTCAGTTTTGAGTGCAGAAGGTCCTGCCGTCTGGACCTTCCATTGACCTCCCAGTATTCTGTTCTACTTGACCTGACAAGTCCTGGGGACTCCCTCATCCGGAGCCCCCAGAAGCATTAGCTAATTGTGTTATGATGTGTCAAAAATCTCTCCTGGCCACAGGGAAATCAGATCCCTTTAATGAAATTTTACTCTCTTCTGATTTTTTTCGTTCTCTTTTCCATCTCTTGTTGCCTAGAGCCGGGTCTCTTCATTAGGCCTTATTATTTCATCATTCAGAATATTCTTGAATGTTTTTCTGTGCTGACATAACCCAGGAACCAGTGTGCCTGCTGTACAGGAGCAGTAGGTCGTGATCTAGGGCTGAGCCACTGCAGGGGTGAAAGGCAAAATCCTGCCCTCAAGGAGGTTACCCTTATGACAGGTCATCCAGACTTACTTCAGAAATGCAACTTTCTGGGACTTTGTAATAACTCTTCTTGAGAAATAGAAAGACGCTGCTCGGGGGCACCCCGGCATTCCCCATTCACTGATGCCCAGATCCAAGTTACAAAGAGCTTTTCACAGCAGACTGCACAGGAGTTTATTTGCCATTTCCTTTCAGCTTCTCTTCTCCTTCAGACTTCTCTGTCCCCAGGATTACACACAAGTCAAAGCAGGATTCCTGTCCCTGGTGACATCAGCGTCCCCGCCAGGCTCACCTCTGCTCATCACAGCTTTGCCATTCGGCCAGGGGCTGCCTCTGCCCCTGCAGATCACCATGGTTCATCTTTGTGTAGGACTGCACTCACAAGAAATTTTCACTTACGTTATTGCCAGTGATCCTGAACAACTGTCCTCAAGGATACATAATTACCAATTTCTAGTTGAGAAACTGAGCATGGGACAAACTCCTAATCACAGAACCAGTAACTGATGGAGCCTAGAACCCACTCTTTCTGACCTAAGTATGATCCCACTTCATTCTTCTTGGAAGAGTATTATTTTGCAAAGCGTTTCCTAGAATAGCGACAAGCTTGTGTGAAATAGGTACTTGGAAAAGCTGCTCCTTGTCCACTGCCGTCTTCTGACTTTCAGTGAAGAACAGTGTCAGGAGATCAGGGGAGGTGAGAGTGGTTGCCTCCTGACGTATTCTGTCTCACCACCGTTGCTCTCATGCGTTTCTCTTACAGTGATGACCTGACCACAGCCGGGACTGACCACTGCACTTTCAACACCTGTCAGAAAGCTCTCGGGAAGGATGATTTTACCAAGATTCCCAATGGAGTAAATGGTGTCGAGGACCGGATGTCAGTAATATGGGAAAAAGGCGTGGTGAGTGTCACAGTATCCAGACTGTTTTACTTAATCTTTCAGCTAGGATCTGGCCCATTTTAGGACTAGCGCACCAAAAAACCTTCATAAAGAGGCATTTTGACTGTTTTTACTCGAGCAGAGACTGGGGCTACAACAGCACCACCACCACCACGCTATCCCTCAAGATGATGATAAGAAATAATTTTCTTCTCTGCGTGGTTCAGCTTAGAGGATGCATTGGACCAGGATGCAGACCTTAGGGGATAAATTTAGATCGGATACCAAAAGGATTATTCTTGAACTCTTGGAAATGTAACAGCCTTTCTGCTTGATTTCTCATATTTTTGAATCCCAGTTACTCATGTGTCACTGGTATAAATACTTGGAAAGACTGAAAATACATGAAGGATTTTTATTATGTTCGTAACTCCATTTCATACAAAAATGTAGATGTCCCTTTTTGAGAACTTTTGAATATCAAGTTTTAAAAACTGGTGTATGAGGTCATATAATAATAATCCAAAGTCTAGAAAAAGAGATTTTTTAAAAACAATTCCATGATTTAAAAATTTCTCCCTGATTATGCTGTACACCAGAAATTGACACAACATTGTAAACTGACTGTACTTCAATAAAAAAAATTTCTCCCTGAGGATGGAGAAGAATCAAGTAGCTAAATGTTCATATGTGAACCTGTCCAGCCAGCTGCCAGGTGTAGTTGTAAAGACAGCAGGGAAGACCTGCCCAGTTAGACCTGCAGTCCCCACTGTCATGCTATCCTCACCCATCTTGCAGAGCCCCCTCCCCCAGATGACACATGAATCCCATCTCCCACCTCAGAATCCCTTGCACATATCACTCACTTCTAACTCTTATTTACCAAGTCTTGTCAATTTTATTTCCAAAATGCCACCTTGTTTCCACCTTCATGTCTACCACTCTAGCTTGAGGCCCGTCTCTTGTTTGGACTCTTGCAGTAGTCTCCCAGCTGGGGCCTCTGCCTCCGCTCTCTGGCTTACTACAATCTATTCTATACTCCAGTATCAGAGTTGACTTTCAGAAATGAAGATCTGTTCATGCTACTTTCCTCTCTAAAACCCTTTAATTTTCTCCATTACTTGTAAGATGATGTTGGAACAATTAATTTACATAAAAGGATATTCAAAACATCACTATAGCTCTATCTTCTGATAACTGTCCTTTTCACCCCCTTTTACTTCTACCCTAATTCTAATTATCGCAGAAAACTTCCTCTTTCTCTTTGCTGAGACTTTAATGGTCCAGCCTTTCCCTTTGAACTTGTGTTATTACAAATAACTTCATTACAGCAGATTTTCATAATATATAAAGTGTATAAATGGCTTTAAGGTGATCAAGTACTTCTTAATAACTTATAGGAAACTGTGTTATTTTCTGAAACATTAAATGGTTTATTTATGGGAATATTACTTTTAGGACATGGTTCTCAATGCTTTTTTGGAACAGGGACCCTTTGATAAATAAATAAATCTTAAGGATGCTCTTGCTATTTAAATGTACATAGGGATAAACTCTCAACATTAAAAAAATCATTTTAGAGGCATCACATGCCTCCACAGTTTGTCCATATTAAAATCTCTTGCAATAATAGATTGTCCATGACTGTTGGTTCATGTAAATTTCAGTAGCAGAAAATTGAACGTCTTAGTTGATTTTTCCTCTTTCTGAAAGCATCATCACCTGATTTAAAGGTCTGTCTTATTTTAATTCTGTAATATTCCATCTGATGTCTACATGATCATCTCTTAAATCTAAGCTCTGCAAATAAATAAGCCAGGTCATAAATGTTGTAGGTGATGGTGGTAAACTTTCAACAAGAATTGGAAATATTGTTACCAGCATTTAACAGTTGTTTGTTTGATTCTGGGAAGAATGGGAAAAATCAATGACGGGTTTTTTTTAAGCTGACAGGTTTTTGAAAAGTTATCTTCAGGCTTCCATATATTACCCCATTATCTCCATCATTATCGTTATGATTAAGACTCACCAGTCTCCACAGATGTGTTTGGCTCCACAATTTAAGAAATTAGGGAAGAGGCAAGATGGCGGAGTAGAAGGACGCTCGTAAGTCACCTTCTCCCA